AACAGCCCACCAGACTGCGACCCGGATGTGGAGAACCCGGGATCGCCCATCCGAGGAAACTGCGGGAGCGCTGCGGTAGGCATCGTCTTCTTCTGCAGCTACATTGTCATGTCCTTCCTCGTCGTGGTCAACATGTACATAGCCATTATCCTGGAAAACTTCAACGTAGCGACGGAAGAAAGCAGCAACCCCTTGTGCAAGGACGACTTCAAGATGTTCTACGAAACCTGGGAGAAGTTCGACCCCACCGCCTCTCAGTTCATTGCTTACAGTAGGCTGTCCGAATTCTGCGACACGCTGAAAGACCCCCTGAGGATCCCGAAACCGAACACCCTTAAGCTGATCACAATGGACATTCCCATGGTCCATGGTGATAAGATCCACTGTGTGGACTTTCTCCTGGCCCTCACTACAGAGGTGCTGGGAGATTCTGACCAGATGGATGGCATGAAAGCAACTATAGAGGAGATGTTCATGGCCTACAATCCCTTTATACTTTCGTTCGAGCCCATCACCAGCACTCTCAGACGGAAGCAAGAAGAAGTGGCTGCTTCGGCCATTCAAAGAGCCTACCGCAAGCACGTCCTCAAGCGCTGCCTCAAACACGCCTCGTATATGTACAGAGAGAAGATGGACTCGAAGGGACGAGGTGAAGAGGCGCCAGAAAAAGTGGGGATGATAGCTAAGAAAATGAGTTATCTGTATGGAGATCAAGCCATTGAGGACGACAAACCTATGGGTTTCTCCTTCTCTCAAGGGGTTAAGCGTCCCCCGGTGAGAGTTCAGAGTGATGTGGTCTTGCACTCTGCCCCTTTTCCCGATTCTCCTTCAGGATTTTTTGGTAAACAGCAGAATTCATGGTTCTTGTGTTATCTCTGACTAATATTTAAATTAGTTTGATGATCTGAAACATTAAAGTGTGACAAACATGCAAAAAAATAAGAAATCAGGAAGGGGGCCAACACTTTTTCACACCACTGTATATTTGCCTTTATACAGACTTTAATAACAGCAGTTAATTTGGTTTTTGACTCTGGCAGTATTTTAAATCAAATAAAAGCAGAATCTGTAGTTGGCCCGAAGAAAAAAATATCAATATAAGATTAGCTAAGTCAGACCATAAAACACATAAACTGTAAACGAGTCTTCCCAACCGTTAGCTACCCAGCTGAACATATTGTAAATATGAATTCTGTAATGTTTAAATTGCCTAATGAGGTGGTATGTGGGGTGTACTTGCAAATTGTTTATTGCAAGTATATAGTCTGTGAAATCCTTGGCTTATTTATGTAGGTCATTTTTAATTTTTAATTTTAGATATAATTTATTATGAGTCAGATATGCAGTTGTGCCCTGAATGTCAGGTTGTTCTGACCAGTTGTGTAGTGATAATGGATGCAATGACAAAATAATATACAGAGAATAGTCTGTAGATGAAACTATGCAAAGGATTGCTTCAACAGGGCATTGTATGTCAGAAAAACTAACATGTATAAATGGATATGTCAGGGTCAGAAGCAAAAAAACTAGCCAGCTTTTTCTAAGCATTGTGTGGAGACTGTGTATGATGTTCTGTGGACACATTTCTCATGTCTGCTACAATGAGTCAGACTCAACAAGACTTAATGTGACTGTTAGCATCCCTATTATGTTTTAATATGCTCATCCAGCATTTACAGTTGCTCACTCATAAATGTATTGCCATCTAGGCGATCAACGGTTTATTGCAAAGTTAACAATTTATCTGTCTCTCACGATAAACTTTTTACATATAAACTTTTAACAGCGTTTATTTTTTGCTGACAGGTAAAGAGTTTTTAGGAAGTTTTTTTTTTTCATTTGCTTGTCATTTCACATCATTTTGTTTAAATTTTTTACTGAATTGGTGAAACATTTTGTTCTTTTGAGGATCCATTTTATGTGATTAAACATGCACTGGCTACCGCCCTCCGTGCTAAAAATGTTGGAACACTTAAACATGAAGTTTCTGATGCTTTCAAACTTTTATTTATGGCATTTCTTTCACTTTTATTATATTTTATTTGTAGAATGCAAACCAACAGTGAGGGAGGTGAGCAGAGAGATGGAAGATTACGAGGACAAATGTAACCTATCCATAATTAAGTTTGTTCATGCAATAATAATGTGACAGAGATAAAAAATAAGAATGCTCAAGCAGAGAATTTCCATATTTGCAGAATAACTGAATGCTAGCATTTACAGAGGCCAAATGCTTTTCAGAAAAACATTAGACAAATTAATAATAATATTAATCTAAATTTATTTCATGTAATGCAATGATCAAAATGTAATTTAATTTTCAAATTCAGCAAATTGTGACATTTTTGTTTAATCATTTTTAGATTCTTTTTTAATGTTCTGCTTAGCATTATTAACACTCATTAGTGCACTGAATGTATTGACACCTCACAGTATCTGTCACTTGCTGAATGCATGTAATAGATCTTGTAACCTTTTTTTTTCCAAGTACTGAAACATTTGTACATTTTATTGAATATTATTTCTCTGTTTACATGACTGAAATAAACTTTTTTTTTGAGCCTTGGGGTTTTAATGCATTTAATGCAATTACGAGATGGTAATTTGAACTGTTACATTATCAAAACTGAATATTTAAAAAAAATAATTCTATTGCCAATTGTCCAGCTGATACAGCAAACATACGCCACCCTGTGGTCACAATACTTTCTATTAACTTTAAACCGCATAAACACATTTCATTACACCAAATACACAAAATACTGTTCTTTTTAGCAGCATCATATGACCCCTTTAATAGTATTGAGATGGCTTTTAAACAGCAATGATATATTATTTTATCTTGTCTATCATATTTAAAACATCATCATAGGCTTACCCCTGAATACACTTTAAAAGACTAGGGTAGAAAGGCATAAATATCTGTTGAAATGAATGAACTGCATGTACTGCAGAGGTAAATGAAGGCTTCAGGTGCACTGAATACTTCAGTCAAAGCGTTAGTGACTCTCTCTCTCACACACACACACACACATTTAAACCTATACACATATAAGCACACATGCCACTCACTGGACGTCGCAGAACTACTGCGGCATCCCCTGGATCACAGCCGCCCAAGTGCCATGCATACAAATCAGGTCAGAGGTCAGCTGTGAAGCGTGACCTCAGGACAGCCGGTCAGTGTGTTCACTGCATCTCTTTCACTCTGATGAGTGGAAGCCGAGTGGTGTTAATATGCTCATTCATTCTCACTGCCGTTTGAGTGACACACTCAGTGTCCAGGGTTTATTACTGGAGAGAATATTCTTGAAATTAACCCTCATCATTTGTAATGTCACTGAAAGTAGACATTTTAAACCAATTAAAACTTGGTTTGTAGTTTTAAATGTGTCTTTGGAGAGAATCTTAGTGTTTGTTTTGTTTCATGGTAATGAGTGTGACACTCATATGGTATAAAAAATCACTAGAATCATAATAAACGTACTATAACGTATTTAATATTTGCTTGCTTTAACTTGCATTTTTTATTAATTTTCCATAGCTTCCCCAATCTTATTTTATTCCTATTTTCAAAATATTCACACTCTTATATTTTATTAATTAATTTATTATTTATTTGTTTTTTGTTTTGTCCTCTTCTGTGTTCTTTTAACTTTTTTACATCGGTCATTGGGCTTTTTGCCTTTATTTATTTAATTATATATTTATTTTTAGGGCTGCTTATTGATGGAAACAGTTGACAGGTCATTATTGTGGAGAAAGGAACCTTAGTAACTCACGCGAACACAACCGTGTCTGGAGGATATGCACTAACCGCTAAGTCACAGGTCCAACATATATTCAGTAATTTTTCAGAAACGTGTGCGAGGTGATTCGTTAACTGATTACTGAACACATTACTCACTGCTCAGCATTTTTAGGGTGGCACACTTGACCTGAACAATCTTTGTTTGCTTCCTTTACAGGCTGTACAGGAATGTGAACAGCCTCTCCTGGGATTCAGCCTTTATGTAAGCTAAGGAAGCAATGGAGAAGCTCGTCCCGTCAACGAGTGGTGCCTCCAAAGCAAAGAAGCCGCCGCTGCCCGAAGAGATGCAATATGAGACGACACGAGAACTGTGATGAGCAGCCTGTAGAACCAGAGAGCGGGAGGGATGGAGTCAGAGCATTCCAGGGTGGATGTGTAACATCGCCCCCTTTGAAACAAGAGTTGACGAGAAGTGGGAACAAGGTGGAGTTTGCCTTAAAGGAAGAGCACAGCTCATCCAGGTCCGTTTAAGGACACAGAAATACAGCTCTTATCTTTGTGCAGAAAAGTTAAGGCCATGAGCGGATCAATGGTGTCAAAAGGTGACACTCATATGGTATAAAAAATCACTAGAATCATAATAAACGTACTATAACGTATATTAAAATATTTGCTTGCTTTAACTTGCATTTTTTATTAATTTTCCATAGCTTCCCCAATCTTATTTTATTCCTGTTTTCAAAATATTCAAGAAGAGTTTACAATGAAAGGGCCAAATGTAATTGTGAACATGCAGTAGGCGGCGTCAGGATCAGGTGCCTCTTCTTTGCCTAAAAGTTGTCAAGTTTAGGCCTATATTATGGTGCTAGCAACACCAACTCTTTGTACAGACTTCAATCTAGTTGAGTTTCATGCTTCCATTGAAGCTATTTATAATAAATATACATAATGTAAATGCTGTCTATTTTGTGTGCGTGTTGCGTGTGTGTGTACGTAGGACAAGCTGCTTGGACAATTCTTATTTTGTGCGTCTGATTGTGAAACCGTCTCACTAACGAAGCCAAAGGTAGTTAAAAAAAGTGATACAGAGCAAAGAGAGGGTCATATCCCATATCCGTTGAGTTGGCAGTCAGAAGCGGAAGCGGGTCGGTAGACAGTGTTCTCTATATAGAACGTGTTATTTAAATGTGTCCGGTATGTAAAGCCGTCTACTTGGATATGGGATCGTAGCAGCAGTGCGCCAACTCACCTTAACTTGAGATGGAACTATCTCCAATTACTCCGGTGCAATCAATGATATCTTACTTCAACCCAAAGCTAATTGCAAGTAATCTGTAATGCTTTGATCAACATTTCAAGGGGCTTAAAGTGCCATCCACCTTAGTTTTCAAAGCGGAAGTAAGCTATTTTCTGTGAATGTCCGAGACTTCCGATAAAATAACTCGAAGCTCTTAAAACATGAAATTCCATCCAAGCTCGAATGTCGTGAATACAGCTTCTTTAGAAAAGATCTTGAATTTAGTGGCGCCTTCTTGTGGCTAGAAATGAAATGACATTGACAACGCGTTCTCATACAAAACACAGTCACTATATAGCCTAATATTTATCTTTCTATTCACATTAAGTTGGTTTTTGGAGGAATGATGGTGTTCCTAGATCCACCTGACAGGACTTTCTTCAAGGAGTTTTGGTTTCTCACACTTGACTGACAGGTGCCAAGTTCAGGCGGTATAGACAGTCATCACAGTGCCCAGTATGAACAGCTGAGGCATCATGGGGGATTTACCTCTGGCACCTGCTTCCATTCCGATTGTAACCGCAGGGTGGAAGTAACTTACAGTCTTTGAATGCTTGTGGTGCCACTCACTTCTGTTCACTCTGTAGATGTTTCTCTGCCAAGCTGATCCGAGACCAGCTTCTGCTAAAAGAGACAGATTGGCTCTTAGTGAACCAAATGCAGAAAACTCAGGAGCTCAGCGTGGCCCATTTTACCCATGAGGGCAAACACAATTATCTTGTTATATATATATATATATATATACAAATTGTTATTAATATTTATCTTTCTATTCACATTAAGTTGGTTTTTGGAGGAATGATGGTGTTCCTAGATCCACCTGACAGGGCTTTCTTCAAGGAGTTTTGGTTTCTCACACTTGACTGACAGGTGCCAAGTTCAGGCGGTATAGACAGTCATCACAGTGCCCAGTATGAACAGCTGAGGCATCATGGGGGATTTACCTCTGGCACCTGCTTCCATTCCGATTGTAACCGCAGGGTGGAAGTAACTTACAGTCTTTGAATGCTTGTGGTGCCACTCACTTCTGTTCACTCTGTAGATGTTTCTCTGCCAAGCTGATCCGAGACCAGCTTCTGCTAAAAGAGACAGATTGGCTCTTAGTGAACCAAATGCAGAAAACTCAGGAGCTCAGCGTGGCCCATTTTACCCATGAGGGCAAACACAATTATCTTGTTTTATATATATATATATATACAAATTGTTATTATGTGAATATTGTGTGAATATCATATTAAGTGTGTGTGAAGAGGTCATATTTCACCCCAGAATCAAAAGAAAATAAATATAGGCCTATATTTTGTATAAATTATTTCCTAATATTTTAGGAGATTTAAGACATTATGTGACATTATTTATAAATGTTTCATTGTTTTACTGCAAAAATATTCTCATTACTGTAATGTGAAACAAATCTCACTCTCATTACTGTAATATAATTTATAATGCCCAGATATGATCATTTATATAATACACACACACAAACCGTATTGTTGGTCAAAAGTTTGGATGTTTTGACCGTTTTGAAAAAACAAACAAACAAACAAAAAAAGTAAAAACAATAATTTAAAATAATTGTTTTATATTTGAATATATTTAATGTCCTTTATTCCTGTGATGCAAAGCTGTATTTTCAGCATCATTACTCAGTCGTCAGTGTCACATGATCCTTCAGAAATCATTCTAGTATGTTAATTTACTGCTCAAGAAACATTTCTGATTATTATCAATGTTGAAAACAGTTGTGCTGCTTAATATTTTTGTGGAAACTGTGATACAAGATATTAAAAAAAGAAAGAAAGAAAGAAAGAACTTGATACTTATATGCAGCAAGGATACATTAAATTGAAGAGAAAAAAATATTTAGAATGGTATAAAAAATTATAATTCAAATAAATTCTGTTCTTTTGAACTTTTTATTAATTAGAGAATTTTGGGGGAAAAACACAGTTTCCCCCCCCAAAAAAATTATAAATTATTAAAATTATAATCAGCATAAATTGCTATGATTAATTTTAACTAATAGATGTAAGTAGACAGTGGGTTTTAAATATTTAAATGTATGTCATGAACATAAGCTCTTAACGAATAAAATATATAATGGTATTACAACAGGATTCATTTTCTTTAGGCAAAATATACTTTTTTATTTCTTTTGATTTGCTAAAATACAGCCCAGATGTGTCTTGACATTCTCTATTATATACTAACTAATTATCCTACATGAACTGTCACAGAACACACTGTTACACTTTGGTCATTATACCGACAACCTAAAGTGACAAGGCCAAACAGCCATGAGGTTCAGGTAAACAGATTGTATTTTGTTTTTCCCCGCAAGGGATTAAACTATTAATGTCACACTGACATTTCACAACCCCAAGACTGCTGAATATTACGCACCGGCCAACACCACATCTGAATAGGAAAATCTTCCTGCATCCCCACAGTGACAGCAAACACGTATATGACCTGATTTACTCTCATAATTATTGAAAACATGTCCTTTTGGAAGGAGATGACACCATTTACCGGTTACGTGGCAATGCTACATCCATCTTCTCATTATAAAGCACCGTGCCAATGACAGACACTGGATTAAAATATATAGTGAGTGGTTTGTAAAACATTTTCAGAATATAAAGACCACAATATTTTTTCCAAACTTTCATATGGAGTGGAAACTTGCTTTTGTATCTATTTCATACCAATATGATTCCTTTTAATAAATAAAACAATGATCTTTCTGCTTTGTCTTAGTGCCAACATCATCCTGGAGTCATGGAATATAAATGACCGGAACCACTACATCACTAACGTATGGTGTCTAAATACACATAACAATGCATATTAAAGCATGGAAACTCTCATGTTTCAACTTTCATGCATTAAGATGCATCAAAACATGTTCATGCCACTTATAAATATCAGTACCTGAGCCAGAAAAACAAACATTCACAAGCTTTTAACTAAGCCTGCAAGAGTTTGTCTACCCTGAGCGAAATGGCTAGAGGTATGGCTGTGGTGCTTTCTTTTGCATGTTAGTTGTAGCACTTAGGACATGGATGGCATATCTTACTTTTGACATATATAAATTATAGATTATTTATTATATATATATATTTCTTTTTTAATTAATTAAATTTTTTTGCTTTTTTTTGCTTTTTTTCTTACACGTAAAAAAATTCTTAGTTTAAAGAGTTAATTGGAGCATGGAAAAACATTAATCCAAAATACTGATTTCATTGGTTATTTGGTTATTTTTTCAGGAGCTTTGAAACAAAACCATGTTGCAGATGAAGAATAAATCTCCTTCTTTTCTTCTCCTAGCATTAGTGCTGTTGTCGGTGGTGCTGGTTAGTTTGTTGGTGAACCAGGGGAGAGCATCAGATAACCAGCGGCTCTTCAATAACGCAGTCATTCGTGTACAACACCTGCACCAGCTGGCCGCAAAAATGATTAACGACTTTGTAAGATTCTCATTCAAATCTATTCGGAACTAGTAGACTCTAACCTCTCATTTACAGCAGATGTGATTGGTCACACCTGTTCCACTATATAGCCTAATATTTATCTTTCTATTCACATTAAGTTGGTTTTTGGAGGAATGATGGTGTTCCTAGATCCACCTGACAGGGCTTTCTTCAAGGAGTTTTGGTTTCTCACACTTGACTGACAGGTGCCAAGTTCAGGCGGTATAGACAGTCATCACAGTGCCCAGTATGAACAGCTGAGGCATCATGGGGGATTTACCTCTGGCACCTGCTTCCATTCCGATTGTAACCGCAGGGTGGAAGTAACTTACAGTCTTTGAATGCTTGTGGTGCCACTCACTTCTGTTCACTCTGTAGATGTTTCTCTGCCAAGCTGATCCGAGACCAGCTTCTGCTAAAAGAGACAGATTGGCTCTTAGTGAACCAAATGCAGAAAACTCAGGAGCTCAGCGTGGCCCATTTTACCCATGAGGGCAAACACAATTATCTTGTTATATATATATATATATATATACAAATTGTTATTATGTGAATATTGTGTGAATATCATATTAAGTGTGTGTGAAGAGGTCATATTTCACCCCAGAATCAAAAGAAAATAAATATAGGCCTATATTTTGTATAAATTATTTCCTAATATTTTAGGAGATTTAAGACATTATGTGACATTATTTATAAATGTTTCATTGTTTTACTGCAAAAATATTCTCATTACTGTAATGTGAAACAAATCTCACTCTCATTACTGTAATATAATTTATAATGCCCAGATATGATCATTTATATAATACACACACACAAACCGTATTGTTGGTCAAAAGTTTGGATGTTTTGACCGTTTTGAAAAAACAAACAAACAAACAAAAAAAGTAAAAACAATAATTTAAAATAATTGTTTTATATTTGAATATATTTAATGTCCTTTATTCCTGTGATGCAAAGCTGTATTTTCAGCATCATTACTCAGTCGTCAGTGTCACATGATCCTTCAGAAATCATTCTAGTATGTTAATTTACTGCTCAAGAAACATTTCTGATTATTATCAATGTTGAAAACAGTTGTGCTGCTTAATATTTTTGTGGAAACTGTGATACAAGATATTAAAAAAAGAAAGAAAGAAAGAAAGAACTTGATACTTATATGCAGCAAGGATACATTAAATTGAAGAGAAAAAAATATTTAGAATGGTATAAAAAATTATAATTCAAATAAATTCTGTTCTTTTGAACTTTTTATTAATTAGAGAATTTTGGGGGAAAAACACAGTTTCCCCCCCCAAAAAAATTATAAATTATTAAAATTATAATCAGCATAAATTGCTATGATTAATTTTAACTAATAGATGTAAGTAGACAGTGGGTTTTAAATATTTAAATGTATGTCATGAACATAAGCTCTTAACGAATAAAATATATAATGGTATTACAACAGGATTCATTTTCTTTAGGCAAAATATACTTTTTTATTTCTTTTGATTTGCTAAAATACAGC